CAGAGGGAAACATAAATGAACAGCTAGCTCTGGCCCATTGTGGTGGTTAAGAGCCAGGAAGGGTATCTGATCCAGCCTGGGATTTCAGGAAGGTTCTCGAAGGAGGCAGTTCTTGAGCTGGTACCAGGTAGATGGCATTCGAGGCACAAGGGATGGCAGAAACAAGGGCCCAGAGGCAAGAACAGCCCGGGGAGATGTGCATTGGAGGGAGAGGAAGGATCATAGTTGGCAGAGGCAAGGCCAGCAAGCACAAACCCTTTTCTTCGGGCAGTGGGGCACCAATGAAGGTTTTAACGGGGCCTGGTCAGATGTACCTGTGAGGTGGCTTCCTGGGGGTCCTACCTGAGCCCACTGTGTCCTCAACTCCCCCACAGGCTCACTCCCTGGGCCTGAAGCTGGGCATCTATGAGGACGTGGGCAACTTTACCTGCATGGGTTATCCAGGCACCACGCTAGACAAGGTGACCCAGGATGCTCAAACCTTCGCCCAGTGGAAGGTGGACATGCTGAAGCTGGATGGCTGCTTCTCGACCCCCGAGGAACGGGCCAAGGGTGGGTCCCCCAGCTGACTGAAGGCCATCAGGTAGACAGGGAGAGATGGCCGTGGAAGGGCCACCAGTGCCCACCTGACTAAGCTCCCTAGGGAGTGGTGTTGCCCAGTTCCCCTCAGTCAGGGGCTGGGGGATGTCGGCTCCCAGGACGTTGGCACCACGCCCACCTGGGAAGTATTTGCGGCTCTGGGTACAGGGGGTGGTACCTCTGTTGAGCCAGTTTCCTCACATTTGGTGGGAGAATGTTTGGGCTAAGGCCCTAGACTGTCTCCTGCACTTCCTTGGTCCTCAAATGTGGGGGTTGGACTTCTCCAGGGTATCCCATGATGGCTGCTGCCTTGAATGCCACAGGCCGCCCCATCGCCTTCTCCTGCAGCTGGCCAGCCTATGAAGGGGGCCTCCCCCCCAAGGTAAGCTGTTCTTTGTGCCCGCCTGCCAGTGTTCCCCACATCAGCCTCAGCACCTCCTGTGCAGTCAGGGCTGCTCTCACCAGGCCTGGCCCTGTGCTAGTTTGTAGATCTAGAGAGAGCGTCCTAAGTACCCCAGAAAGGCCGCTGCCAGCCTGGATCGTACAGAGGAGGCAGTCGTCAGGCGGGTAGAAGGGGTTGGTGTCCAAAGGCATGGGAACCACCTGTGGTGCGCCAACACAGCACCCAGCCCAAGCGGTCAGAATCCTGGGTTGTACTGAGTGGGCCACGAAATCCAGAAGGCTGGTGAGGACAGGCGGATGGGGCCAAGCCTCTGAAGAGCCTTGCGGACACCTCACCAGGGGCCCCAAAGCACCTAGGACACTAGAAAGGGTGGGATCAGACTTGCAGACTTGAGGAGTGCTGGCAAGTGGTGGGACTCAGAGAGGACATGGGGTGGGTATACGGCAGGGATGCTGGTACACTAGCTTAGGCTTGTACCCAGGGCCTGACCACAGCTGGCATGGGAGGGCAGGGTAGGCTTCTGGTGCCAGCACGTGTGGGAGGCCTGGGCAGCCCCAGAACAGGGCCACCCTCTGAGGCTTTCCACATCCTGAAAAAGCTAGAGCTTCTCTTTCCCCTTCCCCACCCTCTGTCCCCTGCTGGGCCTCTAGGCAGCAGGGTGTGACTCTGGCGCTGGACTCTGCCCGCCCCCATCCAGGTGAACTACAGTCTGCTGATAGACACCTGCAACCTCTGGCGCAACTATGATGACATCCAGGACTCCTGGAGGAGCGTGCTCTCCATCCTGGACTGGTTCGTGGACCACCAGGACATACTGCAGCCAGTGGCAGGCCCTGGGCACTGGAATGACCCAGACATGGTACCGTGGAGGGGGTATCCCAAGGCCCACCATCCAGGATGGACCTGCTCCCCACTGCCCTGTGCCCTCTAACTGGATGCTCAATGCCAGGTTCGAGAGCAGCATCTCTGAAATGTGGCCTTGAGCCAGCTGCCTTAGACGCACCTTGGAGCTTATTCATAATTCTGTTCCCAGGGCCCCACCCCTCAGATCAGAATGTTGGGGGAGCTCTGCGAATGCCCATTGTCGAGAGTCTTCCCAGGCAGTTCTGATGCTTGAGACTTGAGAACCTAGTCAGTAGTGCCTCTTGTGTGAGACGTTATCCCTCTGCGGGGTGAAGAACGTGGATATTCCACAGCTCTTGCCACTCTCTCCCTAGACTGTCCCCGCCCAGGCTGCCCGACCCTTCCTCCAGTGGCCTGCACCCCGTTACCCTTCTGCAGAGCCTCCACAGGCAGAACCAGCCCCTCGAACCTGCCTCACTCATAACCCTTGTGATTTAAATACTTTTGCAATTTATCTTATAGTTTTATAGCCATCTCTTCGTTTAGTCAACGAGCATTTACTGCCAGTGATGATTATAATAATTATAAATACTTGGCCAGATGGTGGGCACCTGGAGAAACAGAAATTGGCCTGTCTCAGAGTTCTAGTTCCAGCTCTGCCATGTACCTTGGACGAGTGACTGAAGTTTTTCTGTGCCTCAGTTTTGTCAGTGAGAAAATGAGAAAAGTAATAGTAGCTACCTTATATAGGACTGTTTTGAGGGTGAAATCAATGACCTTTTAAAATGCTTGGCACAGTTTGGCACAGGTACAGTGCTTAGTTAAATTGGCATCACTAAGTACATAAGCATGTTGTATTAGCAATAATTGTTTGTGTCCGTCTGCGGATTCGTTGTGCTGGTCGGGGGTCCCCGTTGGTCCAGTCAGCTGTGGTTAGGGTGGGGGGTGGCTACTGGCGGGAGCAGAAACTCTGTCTGGGTCTGGTTTCCCACCACTGCCACCCTGGGTGTATCTCCAGACTCCTGTGTCAGTTTATAAACGCTTTTGGCAACAGGATCCCATTGGTCCTGTGGCGTCAGAGCATAACACCTCCCCTATTTTCTTGGTGAGATAAAAAGCTGAGGCTCAGATGGAAAGTGACTCGATGAATCCCGAGGCCACACTGCTGGGGAGTGGTGTTCGCCAAACCAGGCTCCACCGTCTCTTGCCTCAGCTACAAGCTTAGGGCTGGTCTTTGACGAGGGCAGAGCTGACCGCTCCTCTCCTCTGCCCCTAGCTGCTCATTGGGAACTTTGGCCTCAGCTTCGAGCAAGCCCGGGCCCAGATGGCCCTGTGGACGGTGCTGGCGGCCCCCCTCTTCATGTCCACAGATCTGCGCACCATGTCCGCCCAGAACATGGACATTCTGCAGAATCCACTCATGATCAAAATCAACCAGGATCCCTTGGGCATCCAGGGACGCAGGATTCTCAAGGTACTGGAGTGTGGGGAAGGGAAGGGAAGCTGAGGGACCAGGCTCTCCAGGGAACAAGGCTGCGAGCCTTGAGGTCACATGGGGGGGCGTGTCTCTGAATCTGCTCAGCCCCACCTCCTAGTTGCATTCAATTAAAGACTCTACCAGGAGGCATCACCACACAAGTTCACAGGAACAGTGAGGCCCCTCAGTTTGGAAGCATAAGACTTGGGCACACGGCTATGATGTTCGGCAGAGAACTGGGGCTCCCCTCCAGCACTGGGGAGTTGTTAAAGCCAAGGAATACGACTACTGCTAGTACTGGTGTCCACTATTTATTTTAACCGCATACTGTGCGCTAGGCATTTTAGATACTCCTTCCCTGTTTTACAAATGAGGGAACAGACTTGAAGAGACTAAGTAACTGGCCCAACGCCCACAGTGGTAAATGGCACAACAGGACTTGGCTCCAGCAGCGTTGCCGCGAAGCTGGTTGGCGCAGCCCCTTCCCTCTCTAGTAAAAGCTACACACCTGTAGAAGGTGCCTGTAGAACGGGTGAGGCCCAGAGGCAGTAACTAATCCCTGCCAGGCCAGGGACCTCTGGAGGATGGGGGTCCACCCTCCTGGCTGCTCAGGGCAGAGTTCTTCATCCCCACCGGCCAGTGCCCTCCACTCCAGAGCAGCAGCTGTCTGCGTCTGTCCTTCCCATCACCCTACGAGTACGCTGAGGCAGGATCTCGTGCAGCATTTGTCTGCGTCCCAGCTGGGGGCCTGGCACAGAGTAAGCGCTGGGGAGCGTCTGCCAAGGCAGGGAAAGAAGGAATGCAGAGTGAGACAGTCGGGATGTCGAAGGTCTGTAGTATTCCCCTCAAGCTTTTACATGACGCAGAACTGTGGGCTGGGGGGACCCAGGACTCAGGGAAGGACTGGGAAGGGGACTTCGGGCCTGCGTGAGCAGGTACCCCAGTAACCACCCTCCGCCCCAGGAGAAGTCCTACATCGAAGTGTACATGCGGCCGCTGGCCGGCTACTCCTACGCCTTGGTCTTCTTCAGCCGCAGGACGGATATGCCTTATCACTACCGGACCTCCCTCACCCAGCTCAACTTCACCGGCTCCGGCCTGCATGAGGTGAGCGCCTGCAGGCAGGGAGCACCTCTGGTGCCACCCTAGGAGGGTGTTGCTGGGGAGGTTCTCCACATGGCCTCCCCTACGCCGTGGGGCAGCTGCGGCACTGACGGCCATGGCTGGTGCTGCTCTCTGCTCTGGTGTCTCCAAGCTACACAAACAGAACCACTGCGTATAAATGAGCCCCGTTACCGCTGAGGCCGTGCTCCTCCCCTCACGAGTCGGCCATGCTGGCACGGTCCTCAGGTCCTCTGTGGACTGGACTCTCAGAACTCAATGTGTCTGGGCTTTGCCAATGGAGAAGTGACAGGAGATTCAGGCTCCCACTTCTGTTGTGCATCCTGGAGGCCCAGCACAGACGAGCCAGAGTCCAGGCTCTGCATCCTCTAAGGGGGTCTCTGCACGGCCATTCTTATGGTGGCATTGGTTATGTCCCTCCTCACTGCAGGCCCAGAATGTCTACACGGGTGATGTCATCAGTGGCCTCCGGACTGAAACCAACTTCACAGTGGTCATCAACCCTTCAGGGGTGGTGATGTGGTACTTGTATCCTGTCAGGAAGTTGGGGTCACCGCAGCAATGAGGAACTGAAACACGTCACAGGCTATAGCAGCACCACTAGCCCAGACCACGGAGCCTCGGCACCCCGAGGGCCATTAGGCAGGGTTCTCTGCTAGCCATGCTGCCCAGTGACCGACCCTAGCAGACTTCAGGGCCAGGTTCCGGCACTGCCCACGTGTGAACTCCCTTGGAAACTTGTCTTGGGGCACTGTCCTGTGGCCTTCTCGGCCTCTTGTCTTCATGGCCCCACAGATGCTGGTGAACTTGGCCAGTCTTCTGAGCCCCTACAGGCAAGGGTGGTGACACCCATCAGGACTCCAGCCTCTGACTTTCTTTTGTTGACTCTGAAATCAGGATTTGGAATTTTTCGTATAATTAGGAGTGGTGATCTGACCTCTCGTTAGGAACTTCCATGAATCATGTGAGTGGCTTTCCTGCCTGGAGGAGGCCTTGCAGGCTGACACTGCCCAGGAGTGACCCTGACTCCCTTGGGTCATCAATAAAGCTGTTCTTTAGTCAAGTAGTTGTGATATGGACCTGGGGCCGTGGGCACCTTCAGTTAGGGATTCTGGGTGGCAGTACACAGGGTGCTGGTTTCAACTCTCACCTCACATGGAAGATGTGTGGCATCTTCTGGCCCCTCGTTTTCCAGTGACCTGCAGGTTGTACTTCCAGACAGTCCAGACCCGCTGCGCTCCAGGAAGCCATT